ATTAGTATATATATATATATATATATGTGTGTGTGTAAACTATCAATCAGACAACATAAGGCATATAGAAGAGGTTTTTGAGCAAATTTTGTAATTATGCTGAGAATTTACTGTAGAGGCTTTAGAAATGTGCATATCAGCTATAATACAGTAGAGATTATAGAGTTAACTGAACTAAACTGCAGGCTTGTGCATACAGCCGAATGACAGCCATAGTGTGATAAACACAATATACATGCAAATGACTCCTAATGCACATTTATGACTTGCTACATCACAACATATAATCTGGTTATCAAGAAATTTTGCTGGAAGAAAACAAACAAGCAGATGAATAAACATAGGAGACGGGAAACAGTACCTGTATGGATACATCACTGTAGGAGCCTCCGATCACTCCAGAGATTGCGAGTGGAACATCATCATGGATGGCGTAGGATCCATCCGGACACGTGTACTCACTATCGTCCACTTTTGTAAGCGAAGCGCGCACAAATTCGAGAGACTGCTCCAGCGCATACGTGTCCTTTGAGCAAGTGTCCAGAATGTGGGCACCTAACGTTACCCCGGGCAAAATCTGATCATCTTGATTGATCTTGTCCAGGGCTAGCAGCATCGCCTCCAGTCTCTGAATCCCTCTTTGTGCATTGATTCGGCCACAGTCCTGAGCCCCCTCCCCCTTTTGATGAACAGGAAACAGGCCTCCAATCACCAGGTCCCCCTCCATTATGATATCTTTCTTGGAGGTGTCAGTGTTGTAACCTGGGACAGCCAAAGCCTGGGGTGTCCTGGCCAATAGAAGCAGCAGTAGAGTGAGATGAAGTGGCCAGGAGGGGCCGTGACCTCTGAAATGAGCTGACCTCTGAGCCATGATCTGGATACTTTACAGGTCAATCCCTATTTAGCAGTCTCACTTGTTGGAAAGGGATTGGGCTCAAGCCGTGCTAAAGGAAAGACTTCAGACACTTCAGTGCGCTTGTAAGCAGGCATGGGCAAACTCAAGCATCATCGCCATCTCCTGCTTGTTTGTGGAGTTAGTGAAGATCACAATCTGTGATTAAAACAGAGAGAAAGTGGGAATTAGATGCTGCACTGCAATACACAACAATTGCTTTGATTTGCCATTACCCATGTTTTTTTTTTTAAGAGATAAGTGAAGAATAAGCTTGGGGACATGAACATTTCATAATAAAAAAAATATATATTTTTTTCTATACTTAAAAATGTAGTTCACCCAAAAATGAAAATGTTGTCATTAATTACTCACCCTCATGTCATTCCAAACCCCTAAGACCTTCATTCATCTTTGGAACACAAATTAAGATATTTTTGAAGAAATCCGAGAGCTTTCTGATCCTCCATAGACAGCAACGCAACTGACACGTTCAAGACCCAGAAAATTAATAAGGACATTGTTAAAATATCCAAATAGTGACATCAGTGGTTCAACCTTAATTTTATGAAGCTACGAGAATACTTTTTGTGTGCAAAGAAAACAAAAATAATGACTTTATTCAACAATTTCTTCTCTTAGATGCATTGCTGTCTATGCAGGGTCAGAAAGCTCTCAGATTTCATCAAAAATATCTTAATTTGTGTTTTCCGAAGATGAACGAAGGTCTTATGGGTTTAGAACGACATGAGGGTGAGTAATTATAATTTACAAAATGTAAATTTTTGGGTGAACTAACTCATTAAAGTGGGTAACAGCAACACAATTCTTGAAAATTTCTTCACATACTACTTGGTAAATTGGTAAAATAGTGGTTTACGCAGTCCTTTTGTGTGGGAACCACATGAATAATTTCCGTTGGTGTTAATGTAGCGTTGCTGAATCTGGACAGGGGATTTCTATTTCCCAGCATGCATTGCTTGGGACTGGATGGGGAGAGTAAATGTTGAAATTGAGTGTTATTTTATGTTTTTGAGCGAGATGAAAAAGTAGAAACTCATTCATATTTAATGTTCTGCTATGTTGGGATTTTGCAGCTTTTCTCTCATATGGTGGAGTTTTGGGGTTATTATTGTGGTGAAGAGTGAAGCTAAGTTATGAAAATATGTTGCTTTACTCAAAAAGAAATTGGTAACACTTCACATTAAGGTTTCATTTGTTAACATTACTAAACTACATTAGTTACCATAAAAAAAAGATAAACTATATATATTTTTTCTTTGTTCGTGTTAACTTTATCCCTAACAATTATCTGCCAGTGGGGTAAGATAACCTTTCTTTCTTTATAATCTTGTTTTCTCGTTAAATGAAGTTTTTTAGTCATTTTGAATTGTTGATTTTTTTTTTGTTAGTTAGTTTTAGGCAAAAACTCTTAATTTTAAAGACTTAATAGTTTTTGCATCTCAAGTAAACATATCTTGATTTAATAATGTTTAGATATACATACTGAAAAATAAGACAAAAATATTGAAAATATTTAGCATTTGATTTATTCTTTGCTTATCAGTGGTTGTAAGAGATCCCCAACTGAGAGACTCAAATGTAATTTGTTGTGCAGTTGAAATATCATCATTTGGCTGCACTGATTTTCTCTGTAACTCTCAGAATTGAATTTCTCAGAATTTCTCTGTTATTCCATCGGGCTGCTGGATTTGTATAACTCACAGCGCTAGGTATGGGCTCCCTAAGGCCTCTTTCCCTTAAGCTCCTGGCTAGTCCATTGAGGGCTTTGTTCACTTGTGTATAAGTGTGTGTGTGTATGTGTGTGTGTGTGTGTGTTAGGCTCTCTGCTCAGGGGACAGTGTGACCATTGTAGTGTAAAGCTAGCTCACCTGAACTCATGTAGAGGATCACTATCAGACAGCTTGTAAGCAACAGCTGCTTCACACACACACACACACACACACACACACACACACAAGCATCGGCAATCACATCAGTATATAAGTTTGCATATATTTGCACTCAGAAAGACAGTGACCTTAAAAAATGCAGTTACAGCATGCACGTCAAAACAGACTTTTTTGTAAAAGATTCCCCATGTAGTAAGCAAATTGTCCACACAGGCCTAGTTTTGTTTCTCTCTCTTTCCTTTTTCTCTCTCTTTTATATGCCAGCATATCAACGGGGAGCATACATTCTAATTTCACACATGCTAAGAGGTGTGGAGTATAGCTTTCGGATGCTGAGAGTTTTTAGTTAGATCAGAGGAACATAAACTACCAGCCAAAAGTTTGGAATAATTACATTTTTTTAATGTTTTTAAAAAAAATCCATTTTGCTCACCAAGGCATTCATTGGATGTAAAAAAAAATAATGCAGGCCAAGTGGGAGTGCAAAGTTGTGGAAGATGCTGAATTAGCAGTTTAAAATGGCAAAAGTGATCTCTACATACAGTATGTGCATCCGTGATATATGCTTGGATATAACACTCTTCCCCATCATTTGATATTTTGATGAATTACCGCTGCCACGATTAATAGAAAATATACTGAAAAATAACTTTCGCAAAAGTCTATGGCTACTTTGTGAAACTACAGAGGGCTAAAGTGTTGATAACATCCGTCAAGTAAGTTTTTAGTTAGATCAGAGGAACATAAACTACCAGCCAAAAGTTTGGAATAATTACATTTTTTTAATGTTTTTAAAAAAAATCCATTTTGCTCACCAAGGCATTCATTGGATGTAAAAAAAAATAAAAAATAAAAAGTTAAAAGACAATATTAAGTATAAAAAAACAGCAGAAAAACAAATGTTTTTCAATTTTGTTTTAAAAAATATAATAAAATAGAAACAGCTCTTTTAAAAATTACATTTTGTCCTTATATGAATATCATATGTATGGCACCACGTTTCCGCCACTGAATAGAAAATAAAAAGGTTAAGTGTGTGTGCGTCCATATCTCAACAATATATGTGTTCATCTCACTGAGACACACACTTACTCATTAGGGTCTTCTCCCTACCCTTTGTTTCCATGGAAACTTGCCAGACAAGAGTGAAAGGAAGGAAGAGAGAGAGAGGGAGCAAGCGAGAGAGAAGTGAGGCTAAAAGGGCCAATCTAGTCTGCTAGGATGGGAGTGGAGTCCCTATGGGAATTCTTGTAAAGCTGGTGTAAATTGGCTATATCTTTTTACGACATACATCCCCTGAACAGCATCTCTTAAGGATTAATACTCGCATCCCCTCGGAACCATAACGATTATTTGAGACCGCTCTTCTCCACAACAGAATTAATTTATTGGGTGATAAGCTTTTTAAGTAATAGCTGACACCATATAGGTAGAGAGAAGTATTGTAAAAGTAAGATGAGGTTCTGTTGAAATCAATCTAGGATTGCAGTGCAGTATAATGTTAAAGTGTTGAAAATATCCCGTATTCGTGATCGTGAACAGAAATCAGGTCTGGGACAAATGGCAAACAACTGTGGAAGAAAACAAGGGTGGGTCCTGATAGCAATGCAGAACTTGTAGTCAACTTGAAATACATTTTACATATACAATGCAACATTTAACAATAAAACATGTAGGGCAGGACTTGATTTTATATAGAGGTTATTAACTGAATTGTGAAAAGTTGTCTCTGTAAGGCAGGTGGTTGGAGGGGACATTTTGAAAAATAAAGATGATTGGTGGCATCAGCCAGAAATGTGTTATTGCAGAAGCAGAGCAATTTTTATATTTTGATAGTAATATATATCTGATAGAAAATATGAAAAAAATATATTAAAGGAATAGATCACCAAATACAGATTCTGTCATTCTTTACTCACCCTAATGTTTTTCAAAATCTGTATGACGTCCTGTCCTATCAGTGGAACACAAAAGGAGATGTTACTGCAGAATGTCTAAGCTGTTCTTTTCCATAATGAAAGTGAATAGTGACCAAAGGCTGTAAATGAAGATTTTCAAAGCAAGATCTCCACTTAATAATTACTTAAATGTCAGTATTTCAGATGGCTTCCTAAGTGCTGAAATAGAGTGCATGAGTCGTATGGGCTACTTTTATGATATTGTTAGGTGCTTTTTTACCCTTTTGGGAGTCAAAAGGGTAACCTAGGGACCTCTTTCTTTGTATGGAAGAGTGAATATTATTTAAAATTTCCACAGTAAAAAGCAAACTGATGTAGAACAACATGAGGGTAATTATAAGAACAAGAAGTAATTTTTGGTAAACTATCCCTTTAAGAAAGTACATTTTGATTTAATGTTGACTTATTTATCTCCACTTACAGAGATGAATGTCTGCATATTTACACTAGAAATATGGCAATTCTCAGTAACCACCGAGTAACCGCGCTGAAGTGGAATATTACATTTACATTTATGCAAATTTTGTAAATACATGGCAATTAAAGACCCATAAATTTGCCTGAATATCCAGTCCAATTACCCACGTCTCGCTCTACTCTCCACTCCTTCTCCACTATCGCTTGTATCTTCCGCTTCACCAGGTGGCCTCTTCAATTTTATGGAGCTGCTTTTGCCAGTCTTCAAGACTGCTCCAGCCATGCAGTGTGAAGACACAGGGGAACTGAGAGATGCTGGCAGAGCGCGGAGGAAGAGACAGAACGCAAATAAGAGAGAGGAAGGAATGAGCAACCTTAAGGAGGAGGAGGATCCTCCCAAAGTGTTAATCCATTTCAGTATTTTCAATCTCATGCTGGCAAAAAGAGCAGCATGAATATGGTAATAGCACATCTAGGAGAGAGGTCATCTTTATGTAACCGCAGGGCCGAGGGAGGAAAAGGTAAGAGAGGAATTCTATATAAGGGCTCTTCTGCACTGATTAGAGAGGAGAAACTATGTAAATGAATTTCAGGCCACATTTTAGATGATTACATTTACATTTATGCAAATTTTGTAAATACATGGCAATTAAAGACCCATAAATTTGCCTGAATATCCAGTCCAATTACCCCCGTCTCGCTCTACTCTCCACTCCTTCTCCACTATCGCTTGTATCTTCCGCTTCACCAGGTGGCCTCTTCAATTTTATGGAGCTGCTTTTGCCAGTCTTCAAGACTGCTCCAGCCATGCAGTGTGAAGACACAGGGGAACTGAGAGATGCTGGCAGAGCGCGGAGGAAGAGACAGAACG